CTCAAGAGATTTTTCCCCACTTATTTTCCCATCACACCTTTCTCTTCTCTCTTCCTCTCTATTTATAAGCAAGAGAGAGGGATGGATGCCTTGCTGGAACCAGCTCACCAAGGAGAGCACGAAAGTATAGGGAGGGCTATGAGCATGGGAGCAATATAGGGGGGGCTGTGAGCATGGGGTACTTGTGTCCCCCCATGCTTGAGTCCACTCAAAGCATGAGCCACAGGTCCACTCACAAACCAAATATCTCTCCTTTAATGACCCTTTCCGGAAAAAGATGACCCTTTATGCTTTGAGCTTTACTGCGGTCTCCATATATATGTGCATGCTCATTTTTCTTTTATTTCCTTCCACTTACTAGAGCATCTAGTTGGTAAATTATCTTTCCACTAGACCAAAATTTTAAAGTTACAGTGAGCAATGAGAAGTATAATTTTATATTTTATTCTCGTATAAAGATGTTTGTGATGTGATTGGACTTCACTATTTTTCTTCTATTGGTGGGCGCATACAAATTGACTGACCTTTTCAATGTGTTGAGACCCGCACTCATACAAGAGCATCAATTTTTAAGATATACTTTAATTATGTGGCAAGTGTAGTCTAAATATGTGCTGCTCTACTACCATATTAAAGGTCATCATCACTACACCAAAACTCTAAAGTTGTGATGAGAGTAGAGGAGTATAATTTTGTGCACTCTAACACGATAAATTCTTCATTGATCATTAGTGGACTCATGACTTGGTTATACTCTGAAGACGTAGGTAATCAGATTGATTACCAAACCTCCTTAAATTCCATGTGTTTCTATGATTATTTTTATGTTTTTGGTAGGATCATGTCCATACAATCGACTTTGTTTAATGAATAATAAACCCTCATATTAGTCAAATATATGTTTGGGATGTTGTATACAGGTTACAATAAATTAGAATCAAGTTCAATATTGAAAAGACCAAAATGATAAGTTAATCACAGCTAATTCTGAAAAAAATATTAAGAGTGAAAACCAAGTTTGGGCATATGGGAGAATCCATATCCTTATCACAAATTTACAGAAATAAATGAAACCCAAATCTGAGATGTATAGCTCGAGATATGAATATTTTAGTTAAACAATATCGAAACAATTAGCAGTAGGATTGAAACATACACCAAGGCTCAAATTTAAACAAGCCATAACTTTTGACTTGGCTATCAAAATCGCTATTATATTACCTTTTCGGAAAGCTCTCGATCTGATCTATAGACCATCTATGTCACTATCAACCATCAATGATGCAAACATCAGAGAAGTTTAGATCATCAATGGTGAACACTAACCATCGACAGTCAGGTCGTTGATTTTTTATTTTCGATTTGATTTTGGATTTAATCTAAGCATTTTATTAGGGGTCTATAGGCCCTTTGCTCACGCTTTTTATCAGAGATTCCTGACCTAACTAAGAGAGGAGAGAGAGAGAGAGAGAGAGAGAGAGAGAGAGAGAGAGAGAGAGAGAGAGAGAGAGAGAGAAGAGAGGGAGAGAGAGAGAGAGAGAGAGAGAGAGAGCATGCTAAGGTTTCAATTTAGTGAAAGGATCATGCTCAAGCTTCTCAAAAAGCACCTTCGACATCATTCTTCATCATCCAATCATTAACCTTTGAGGAATGTTGTCCTTAAACTTCATTATCATGAGAGAGAGGGAGCACGTATGCTAAGGTTTCAATTTAGTGAAAGGATCTTGCTCAAGCTTCTCAAAAAGCACCTTCGACATCATTTTTCATCATCCAATCATTAACCTTTGAGGAATGTTGTCCTTCCACTTCATCATCATGACTGTTCTTCTTAGAGCTTTGCTTCAATCATTAGGAGAACGGATTGTAAAATATAGCTCTGTAAGATCTTTCTAGTTGCACTTAGTTGTTATTATTTCTTTGTACCAAACTTTTTTACAGTGCACTTAAGTCGGGATTAAATTGAAGAATTGTCAGCACCTACAGCTAGGGATACTTGTGTGTACAAAAATTAGGTCAGATGACTAATTTGGGAGAAACTAGGATTTCGGTCTTGTAAGTCTACTGAATCGGGTTTGTGATTCATGAGAACTTTCATGCAGTAAGGAAGTCTTTTCGCGAGAAGGAAGAGTGGATATAAAATTGTTTATTCAAATATTGTGTGCTGGTTGTGATTATTTTTGTTATTATCGTATTGCTTATGGTTTTCCTATTATTGTTTTATTTTTGCTATATTTTTTATGATACCTTGAAAAGTCAGTTAAGGAACGCCCTCCCCCGCCCCCCCCTCACTTTGTGGCTTGGCATCTCAATCTTCACCTCATTTTTTCCTTTACTTTAGGCAATCTAAGATATTATTACGCTATGGTTAGGGTTTGGGTTTGAGGACACTAGCATTCAGATCATGCATATCGGCCCAATAAGTTACTCCAATGTTTTCTTTCATACAATGGCAGAAAGATTTTATTAATCAATCAAATCATGTGCTACATGTTGTGCCAATATCATGGGTGTTGCATCCTCCCATGTTCTAGTGGAATTACAAGTTTTTGGAATAAAGCTAAGATATGAGGTACTTGGTTTCCGAATCTAGGCATAAAAGACAGGATACATATATAGCTGAAAGTTAGCTCTCATCGCTTGCAACTGATCCATAAGTCGATCCTTCCATGTTGTGATATGGGTTTTCGGTCCTTTGCAAGAGATCAATGGGTTTCTAGATTCAGTTTCAGAGACCACATGTTGGTAGCTTCATTATTTGGCCAAAATCATTCCCTATCGAACCGCGAGAATCTTTGTCATCAATGGTGATTATGCTGGTCAAGTGAAAAATTGGCCAGCAACCTCCACTATGCCTTTATAGTCTCGACCAATCAAACCCGCTGTGGCATTTAATGTCCGATCAGCCCATCCACCATCATAATTAACCTCTATAATTCCTGACTCCTAAGCACTCCAATGCCCTATTTTTTTATGATCATCAAGCTCAGTTCGTACACTCTCATGTGCTCCCTGATATCCCATGATGTACTTAGTAGCATAAGGGCCGACATCCTCCGACTTTAAAGCATTTTTTTTTAAAAACAAGGTTCTGGGAGCATCTCCAACAGTTTCCCCAAAAATTTCTCCAAAATGGAGAAACAAAAGCCATATTCTCCAAATTATTTTTGCTCCAACTCCAACAGCTTTCCCATTTTGAAAAATCGCATTTATTACAATAATAAAGCTCTCCCCAAAAATTTGGAGAATGCTGCAGATTTGGGGAAGGCTCCCTATTTTTTCTCTTCCTTCCCTATTTTGGGGAATGGGATGAGGAATCTGTTGGACAAAAAAAAAGCTCTATATTCCCCAAAATTGAGTATTTCAAGAAGATGGGGAAGCTGTTGGAGATGCTCTGACAATGCCATATTCGCCAAACCATCACGAAAAAAAATTCTAAATTTTCCTTCGAATAACTTTTTGCCCATTCAAGCACTACTGTTGAATATTCTCCATCCCGTCAAGTGCAACAACATCTCGAATAGGAAATGCTTCTCATGCATGTTTTGACTAGCCGCACTCGTAGTAAATATGGGTATCTGATTCTGGGCCTTGAGAACAAAACCACAATTCTAAATTTTCCTTCGAATAACTTAATCTTGTTTGGAATACCATATCTCCATAGTTTCTTTCATATAGATTGATTGTGATTATTCTGTGTAGTGTTTTGCACCATCATTTGGTCCGAACGTTCTCTCTCTAGATGGCTAGCACTTTGAACTCTAAAGACCCCATCTGAGCACCTCGACCAATATATTTTATCTTCATTTCTATTCAAAATAAGAGGCATGGATACGATTTCTTTAGCAACATTTGGTTTGAAAGCTTATCAAATCAGTCCAAATTCCACCAACCTAACTCATGGTCTATTAACTCCTTCACGTACACATATGCATCATTTGCAATCATCTCAAGTTGTTTGTAAGCGATACCATCATTAGCTCTCAATAGCCATTTGTCATGAAATATTTTAACCGTGCATGCATTTTCGATCCTCCACCTCAATCCTTTCTTCAGAACACCTCGACCTGCCAAAGTGATCCTCCATGCTATTAACGGTGACCATGCTAATGGGGACTCATGAAATTGCTCATGTTCGGAAAATAACGAGCTTTATAAATTTTTCTAAGCAGCGACTCTAGATTTTGCAACAATCTCCACCCTTATTTAGCAAGCATCACAAGGTTAAATGCTCTTAATTCACGAAAGCCCATTCTACCTTGATATTTTGGTTTATGATATTTTCATTTACAAAGCTTCGACCAAGCTAACCAATGGATGCGTATCCTTTTGACCCCACCAAAACCTACTTACCATAGCCCTCATCTCATTGCACAGTGAGGCCTATGGGGACGGTTGTGAACCGTCACACTAGGCATGGAAACCGTCACACTAGGCCTATGGGGACGGTTCAACATCCGTCTCGTTTACAGCCGTGCTCTTAGGTCTAATGGGACGGTTTATGCTCCTAGTGCAACGATTTGTAAACCGTCCCCAATAGTACCATAAGGGAACGGTTGTGCTAAGGGGTCGGTTCTTAGTTTAGAGCAAGTGGAACGGTTGTATATCAAGGGGAACGGTTTTTAGGTTCTAAGCAACGGGAACGGTTTGATAGCAAGGGGAACGGTTTTTAGGTTCTAAGCAATGAGAACAGTTTGATAGCAAGGGGAACGGTTTCTATGGGGATGGTTTTTATACCAAGGGGGACGGTTTCGAGCTTGACCTAAGAGGACGGTTATATTGTCTATGGGAACAGTTTTGTTTGTGATCTATGGGGACGATTTTTATACCAAAGGGGTCGGTTTTCATTTTTTACCGATCAAAATAAATCACCCAGATATCACACATCAGTCCATCACATACAAAGAAACAATAATTCAAGTTTTACACATAAAGTAACCAAACTTTAGCCTTAATATAATGAACAATTCATTACAACGAACAACAATATTATAGCAATAAGATTGAGATAATTCTTCACAAGTTTTACACACAAACTAACCAAATTAAGCACATATCACAAATCCTCCATGATTAAAACAAAGAGCTACTACTTAATCAAAAGGTCAAAATGTTTCTCTTGAGATGATTAAGTTCTAAATCTTCACAACAAATAAATCCCCCAAAGAGCGACAAGCATGGATCTTCAGATGTTTTCCTGCATACATCAAGATAAAAAGACGAGTAAGCACAAGTAGAATGAAATGGACTGTATGTGTCTCTTTAGAGTCATAACTTATTGCATGACGATCATATTTAGGTATATAATGAAATTAAGAGTAAGCACAAGTAGAATAGAAGAGACACGAATGATAGAAGGATAAAGGTCTGTCATAATTCCTAATTGTTTGAGACAAATCTGGCTCTACATGTGGACCACATCACACAACCAAATAATCCTCTAATAAAATCATGAAAGGAACAAAAATTAAAACTTGCTGGATTAAAACTTGCTGTAGAGTCTACAATTCAACGTTTGTTGCTGTAGCTATATTGCATTCTACCAGCAGAATGTGAATGTTTGATTATGGCAGGTCCAAAATTTTGTTTCCTTTACTTGTAGAAATTTTGTATGTTGTTGCGTGGTATTTCAGCCTACGAGTCATCTTAGAGTTCTGGTCCCCGCAAAGCAAAGCAAAAAAAAAAAAAAAAACAACCGAAAAAAAGGAAATTATAATAAGAGTACAAATCAACAGGCTTCAGGGTTGCAAAACATCTGTATGCATCTAACTTCAGTTTAGAATTCTGAAAACCTGAACATGAGTTGCCTACTACCAGAAGGATACAACTTTTATACTCTAAAACCAGGCTATTTTCAGGCTTAGCAAGAAATCATCTGCCTCAAAATCCAGAGGTTATGGGAAACCTCTCCACGCCTCTCAACTTAGCAAATTTTGTACTCCAAAGGGCTAAAAACCTGTACAAGTGCAAATGCTTGATCATATATATCAAGAAAGTGTCACATCTTTGTTGATCATTCTCAATCCTATAGCCTCCTTAGCTGAGACCCAGAAATTTCTCAGAAATCAGTTTTACTGGTTGACCAGCTCCATTTCTTTGAGGTCCCAAAAGGAAGTTTCCTATGCAAAAATAGGTAGGGAGAACATGGACATGAAAGTCCTTTTCATCTTTCTGTACGTGGCCACTAGCTAGTTATCTCTCAAGTTAGGAAAAGTTAAGACTCTAAAGCCTACTTATCGGTATCATTAATAATTAACTAATATTCTTTTATCTCTAGCACTGTATTTGATAATTCAAGAGGCGGGTAAGGTTTCAAGCTGACAAATTTGAGACTGTTATGGATACCAAAATTGGTGGTGACAAAATGATTTCAGAACAAATCTTGTGTATGGTATGTAATTTTTTATTAGTTTTCGATGGTGACATAATATGGCTGGCCGCCTCTGAAGTCCGAATCTATCAAATGTGATAAATGTTCATCGAAGATAAAGTATGTTCACCGTGAATGTTTGCATCGCTATTTTGTATGCTGTAGCTATCCATTGGTTTCCATTACTTATATAAATAAGCAGTATAGTTAATAATGCAAACGTGAATTATAACTTTACTACATACAAACAATTGAATACAATTACCAGAATATCCATAAAAATTCCTGGTTAAACCCAATGTACTGAGTCAATATGCATCACTCTTTCAAGTCAAACCTTTCAAGTCAAACCTTCTATGGATCCGTACAAAACATGTTTCTCATTATGAAGAACCTGAAGCGCAATGGAGAATTCATAAGATCTGATTATCATATAGAAGTCTATATAAAAGCCCCAAAACAAGTAGAACAAATTATAAACAAGTGCACAGAATAATTGAATTAAGGATATATTGAATAGAAACAACTGGGCATTACCTTTTGACCACTAGAGGGTATCACTCTGTGCAAACCAAAGAATTTAGTTTTAAGTGTATTCTCATATGTGCGCACATGATGGTGATAGTTTGGAAGCATCCGCAAAAGCACCTACATATTTAAACTAAGTTACACTCTGTTGGCTGCTAATTAAAATTTTGATCAATAAAATCATGAGCATGCTTTGAGCCATATACTGTTTAGAGAAATTAATTGATTGGCTATGAAATGTGCAGAAACAAAAAATTAATGCTGAAACAACTGATGAGCAAGGTAACTCAATTCTTTAATGCTGAAACCACCACTAGTAATATCGTTGGCAGAGAATGATTCAAAGTCTGGTGATGAAGGTGGCAGTTCCTCAGTGAGTAATCAAAATGAACATGTAGAATTTTCAGAAAATAAAGAGAATTCTATAGTGGAGGAAGTTCGATGTCAGGGAAACAGTGCCTCAAAGAGGGGAAGTCTGAAAAATCTGAAGAGGTAGCCATTGATTCAATGCTGAACAACGATCAAAATAATCCAGATTTATCAACAAACCAAACTCCTAGTGAGGCAGCTGCATCTCATGAAGATAGTGCCTCAAATGTCAAAAACATTAGTAAAAATGTTAAAAGTCGGAAAAGGCAAAACTAGAGTCCAAGGATGAGACTCCTAGTGAAGCGACTACATTTAATGAAAACAGTGCGTCAAATGATGAAAATGCTAGTAAAAATTATGAAGTTGTGATGACAGAAGCAGAGTCCAAAGATGAAACAACCTCTGATTCGGTCAACATTAATCAAGAAGGCAGTACCGGCTCAGAATCGTCGAACCCTAACTCTGTATAAGATACGAAGAAATCAGCTAAACTATAATATGCGTTGCATCCTTTTAGGAAGGGTAAAACTACTCTATAAGATACGAAGAAATCAGCTAAACTATAATATGCGTTGCATCCTTTTAGGAAGGGTAAAACTACTCTATATAATCGTCGAAACGTTTGTACACAGTCAGTTATTTGATTAATAAAGTTCTGAAGTTTAATTAAAAGCTAATTAGTGTGTACCTGTACATGTACACATCCTTGTCAAGGCTAAGCTCCCTCCTGGACAAGAAGCAAAATTTCAAAATCCCCCCTCCGACAAGCCCCAAATTACTGATGCCAGGGCTCTCAGTGACAAAAGATCTATCATTTTGAACAGAATAACATGTACAATCCAGTGAACTCCTCTTCAATCCTCACCTAACACCACCAAACACCAGCAAATACTCAAATTTAGGGGAAAATTAGACATTGTAACAATTAACTAAACAATTTTATCGAAAATTTACACTAAATGCAGGATATTCCAAAACTAGGGTTCAAGATGTCTCCAAATTCATACGCTGCGACATATAATCAAGAAAATCAAAGGGATTCATCGCAGAAACCCTAGAAAATTGATAAAATGCTCAATATAGAGGCTTAATTGCTAAATATACTCAAAATCGAAGTAAAGAAATGCAACAGCTGAGCAAAGAATACACAAGGGAAATAGGAGGAGAAAATGAGATCAATACCTTTTTTCTGAGTCGTGTGGAGGTCTCGGCGGCGGTCCTCGAAGACGGCGAGGTCGTGAGGGGAGGCAGTGGACAACGGCGAATTGAGGAGAGGTGGCTGACAAGGTTGGGATGGTCGGCGAACAAGCGGAGGTGTCGAATGAGGGGAAGTGAAGGAGCCAAGGGGAGGAGGGAAACGCGAGGTGGAGATCGTCAAGGACGAGTATGAGTGAAGGAGAGGCGGCAGGCTTTGCTCCGTCGAGGAGAGCTGGCGGACGAAAAAGAGTTCGACACGAGAAAAACCCTAGAGCGGTGATTTGTTTTGATGGGGGAAAGTGTGGTGCTCGTTCTAAAAACCAAAAATGAAAATTGGGGACCGTCCCTTTAGCCCATTACATAATTTATTAGAAAAACTAATTCAACCCCAACGTTTTATTTTAAAGCGTTGTCTTAGACTCTATTGTGACGGGTGGAACCGTCACAAAACATTTTCCTTAGACAGCTAAGGGGACGGTTTTAAACTGTCCCCAAATAACCGTCCCCGTATACTTATTTTGTGGTAGTGATATACGGTATTACATCCCACTAGTGTGCACCCCGTGTAAAGCACACACCCTATTTTTTTAAAGCATTCCATTTTAAACTTGTTTGTCTCTAAGTTTTAATACATTTGATTTAATTATTATATGCTTAAAATTAGAAATCATATCTACTCCTCTATACTTAAATAAAGATCCAAATTTTAATACATTTAATTTAAAAATGACATCTACTCCTATATGCTTAAAGACCAATCCAAGTTTTTAATACATTTGATCTGCTTCACTGTTTGTAATACGTAAATTATTATAGCATAAATAGTAATTTCAAGCATGGAGAAGCAGATTGGATTTATTGTCTATGATGCAATAAATTATTGTAGCATGAACAGTAATTTCTAGCTCAGAGGGTAATATTTGATTTACTATTTATACTACAATATTTATTGTAGCATTTAGCATGAATAGCGATTCTTTGGATTCCACTTTTTAAGTATAGAGGAGTAGATGACATATGTACGTATCGCATGAGCAACTATTTTAATTAAGATCTCTCTTCCCACCTATGAAAGCAATTTCTCCTTCCAACCCTTTTAACTTTTTCCGTAGGCGCTTTTTTGTCCGGTTGGAAGCTTGCTTTTTTATTTTTTTCAGTTATTGTCGGGAGCCCCAAATATTTCCCAAAATTATTTTCCTTCCTCACACCAAACATGTCTCAAATCTAACTTTTGACATCATGTGGAACATGATGACTGAAAAAGAGACCCGTTCTTGCTATATTCACTTGTTAGCCTGATGCTCCATCATAAATTTTCAAATAGCTCTAATACATGTTATAGCTCTAATACATGTTTGCAATTTTTTCCAGCGAACTTCGGACGAAAGGTAGACTATCATCCGCAGAAAGCAAATGTAATACGTTCGGTCCTTCTCATCCAAATTTATGAAGCCTGAATCCGACACATATCCCCTCCATTTTGAATCGAAGTCAAGACGTCCTCAGCACACAATAAAAATAAGGAAAAATTACTTAGGGGAACCAAATTTAATTGGGCCATGCATCCCCACCCCAAGCCCAAAAACCATAACCAAAAAGCCCTAAAATTAAAAAAGAAGTGCAACCAAGCCCTAAAACCCACTGCCCATGAAAACATTCTCAAATTACCCTTCTTCTTCCCCATTTAAAACTCAATCCCTTTCCTCCTCCTAATATGGTCCAAGACCTCCCCTCCCCCACCACCGCCTACCCTCTCTCACCACCGCCGACGCCGTAGCCTCCACTCCTACGCCACCGTCTCCTCGTCCTCTTCCCCGGCCCTCCGCACCCGCGTCGACCGCGTGGGCTCCTCGAACCTCACGTGGGACGACAAGTTCCTCTTCTTCCTCCCCTCCTCCTTGACCCCCTCCTCGGCTGAAACCCGACGCGGATTCTGATCGGAATGAGGGTTTTTGTGCCGAGTCCTGTCTCCATCTCCGATCTCCAGCGAGATCGAGGAGCTCCGATCACCGATTCCTAGGCAATGAAGAACTAGCTAGCCAAAACAAAGACGCAATGGAACATAACTAGCTAGCCACCTTAAATTGCAACGCTGTGTATTTTAATTGAGGCCTCGATCAACCTCTGATTTGATTGAGGTTAGCAAACATAAACAAACCTAGTGATTGTCCAAATTTGATACAACAATCCAAGCCCTCACTGACAACAACCTGCAAGTTTTGTAGAGCAATCATTGGGGAGTATTCACATGGTACCCATCCCTCAAAGGCTACAATCATGTAATGTAACAAAAATCAAGAGAAGAGCGTAGCCAAGATAATTAGCTCATGGTCCATGTTGGTGCCAAAGGAAACAAGTCATGTGAGCTATGCATTTCATTCAATATTTTTGCTTCCCCCATGTCCTCTCCATCTTATCCTCCCCATGCCCATGGAAGGAAAAAATCTTGCTCTCAAGTGAAGGAAGAGTTAGGGCCTTGTTCTTTGCTCAAACTCGGCCCTCAGATCAGTTTTATGGCGTGCTCAATCTCGGCCTCGTCGTGGTCCCGCATGTGCCGGGGAGGATACAGTTCTATGAAGGAAATATGATGGTAATAAGAAGAAGAAGAAATATGATGATAATAAGAAGAAGAAAGATGAACCCTTTGAGTTGATTTCTTGAGATGATGATAATAAGAACATGTAGATTTATGTGTTTGTAAACAATGCAAGAACCTGTAGATTTCTTGAGTTGATTTCTGTGTTTGTTAAACAATGCAAGAACCTGTATATTTCTTGAGATGATGATAATAAGAAGAAGAAATATAAACATATGTTGTTTTATGTGATGTGTATGCATTCTGTGTGACATATGTTGTGTGTATGTCACATATACTTGTTTCCTGTGACATTTTGGTATTATGTGTAACATATGCTGCTGTTATGTGACATTTTTACATTCTGTGTGATATATTCTCATTATCCATGACATATGTTGCTGTTATGTGATATTTAAACATTATAATGTGATTTAACCTCTTTTCAACTATATAATATGAGACTTCAAGAGTGCTCTCCGTGCAATTTTCTTGGAGAATTTTTTTCGCTTCAGGATATAGATAGCTATTCCATTTTGTTGTCAACTCACAGTGAGTATTCATTTTTCCATAATTTGTACACGAATATGATCCATCATATCACGAATAGGAAGTGTTCTCGCCGCACGAATCCAATTGTTGAAAGATTCAACAACATTGGAAGTGATATGAGCATATCTGTGTGTCAAACAAAAATTAACTACAAAGTACAACCAAGTGTCACATATAAACGACATCTGTCACAAACAATAGCAAAATATCACATAACACAGATAAGAGTCACATATAATAGAGTATTGCCACATGAGACGAGTAAATGTCACACATAACAGACGATCGTATACTTGTATGCAACAAACTCTAATAATTTTAAAATACGTTGAGCAACACTTGAAGCAAAACCCATCTCTCTAAATTTCAATTTATAATTCTCAACAAGATGAAGTACACATGTGGAACGATACGCATCTAGAAATATATCTTTTAGATGAAGTGCACATCTAATGTTCACATATAATACGTTAACGTCACATATGAGGTCTCAATGTCACATGTAATACTCAAAAATCACAAATCAGAACTAAATATCACATATAAGGTAGAACTGTCACATGTAGGATTGAATTGTCACGTATAACATTA